TGTTTATATATATTTTTAATATATTTATATTCTATAAAATTTATATACTATATCCTATAGTATATAAAAACAAGGGCCACATAGGCTCACTGCTGGGAGAGGGGAAGGGATTTCCCTGATTGCCACCCTCCCTTCCCCCAATAGAAGCCTGAGCCATCTCTCCTATTGTTTTGGAGAGTCCTCCCACCTCTGCAAGTAGTGAGAGCCCATATGGTGTCATGATTTGAATCTTGGGTTGGAACTAGGAAATCTGGGCTGTAATCCACTGAATCATGAAATGTGCCAGGTGACCCGGGGTTGGTTTGTTTGTTTGTTTTATTCGACTTGTATGCCGCCTGTACCCTGCAAGGGTCTCCGGGCGGCTTCCAACATCAATTAAAACAGGTCAGTTGAAACAAACACACTAAAAACCAATACGTACAGTTACATTTGCACTCTGCTATTTATTTATTTATTTAACTGTCCTCCTAACACAGTTCCCAGGGTTGTAGCAAGGGTGATATGGATGATGTGGGGAGATGTTCATGGTGGCCAGGTTATAAAAATAGAAATAAAAATGTTTGTGGGCAGGCTGCAGGGGGTGGGATCAGGAAAGTTACTTCCCCTGAGTAGGATGTCCCGTGAACAGAACTCTGTTCCCTGTTCTCTGGACCCAATCTGATGTCTTCTGGGTGCCTCTGAACAGGCAGCATGTGACTGTCAAAGCAAAGACTGTGTCATTTGCCAAGAGATGAGTGAATGATATTTGTGTCCAAAGGTAGCAAAGTAGAGTTTTAAGCCTCCCCCCCCAACCAAACGTCTAAATTTGCTACTTGGTAATGAGACCTGAAATAACCCCTAGGTTCTTCTTGTTTTTGTTTTCAAGTATGTTCTTGCTTAAGGTTTAATTGGCTCCAGTCAGTAGGAAAGGACTCCAGGACTGATTATTTATGGCTTACTGTCAAAAGCAGCTATAAAAAAGGGCAGTATTATCTTGGAGATGCTGGGAAGCAGAGTTGGAGTGGGGGGGAGAAGTGTGTGCGCCCGAGTACATAGGAGTGTGTTTTCTTGTACTGGATAAAATCAGTTTTGCTGTCTCAGCAGTGTGGTTTAAATTGAAGATTAACCCTTTGACCTTCACAGTGTCAAATCACTTACAGATGGATCACCAGCTACACTTCTCTTCTCTTCTTCCCCTCCCTTCCCTCTCTTCTATGTTTTGAGGGAGAGTGGGGGCAGGCGTTCTCCTTAAGAAAAAAAAGTTGGGGGAAGGAGTTGTTTGTTCTTGCAGCTGGGACTTTGAGTGGCTCAAAAGCCAATCTGATTAAAAACAGCACTTGGCTAAACTTTGCAGAATCTTGCAAAAAGAGAGAGAGAGAGAGAGAGAGAGAGAGAGAGAGAGAGGAAACCTTAATCCTTTTGTGCACAATACATAAAGGGTCTGCTCTTTTCTTTTATAATATTGAAGCTGCAATTATTCCTTGAAAAACTCCCTCCCTGTTTTTTTCCCCCCCTTCTCTCCCTCTTTTTCTTTTAAACATGCTGTACTGCTGGGATTATTGTATCTGTTCTTGAAAATGTAACATGGTTTTTATTGGGATAAGGATAAGTCCTTGGGTTGTGGTTTTCAAACATTTTATATGACTAATCTTGTTTAGACTATTTTCCCCTTTCCACAGCACCAGCAGAACAGAAATCAAGTTTGGTGGCAGATTCTCCTCTTCCTTCACAACATGGCCTTGAACATGGAGGTGAACAGACCCCGCACAGGTCGGAGGTGAGACCTGCCGCACCTCATCTGAGTTCTATCCAGTTTGCTGGGAACACTGAACAAAGCCAGAGCAGAAATTTTTAATGCCACTGGACAAAATGTGAGGTTCCTGGGATAAGAAGGATCCTTGTTGTTCTGCAAAAGACTTGTTTCACAAGGACTTGCTTTCTGTTTTTGTTGGCTTCCTGTCTTCTGATGTGGGGAGCTTTGGTCCAACACTGTGGAAGAAAAATCCTCCTCTGATATGTCTGCTGTTTGCAATCTAAGTCCTCATATAGGAAAGCTTCGGTTTTAGCTAGGAATGGCTATCCAGCGTTTTGTAACGTTGGTTTCTGGTTATGTTCTAAGGCTGATGAGTTGAAAAGTGGTTTGTGCAACTTCCACAGGAGACACGTGCTTCCTAATGGGAAAGTTTGGAAGTAACTTTCTACTCAGAAAGAACAATGAAATGTATCATAGATTTACATCTGGACAGCTTGTGTTGGATCTACACAGTTTTTGTGACTGAGAAACTGGTGTCAAGGCCTGCGCATTGATGTAAAGTTTTTGGAACTCACCAAGCCATTGGGGAAGGGGGGCGGGGCGGAAGGGAGACTTGGGTCCCATCCTTCCCCATCTTTTTCCAAAAATAAAATTTGGGAAAAAGTTGAAATAACATGCAATACTTCCTTGTCAAACATGAAATCCTTTTATTACTTTAAGACTGTTATTCTGTGGTCCCTAGGGGCCATCTCAGGAGTCATCAGATTATTAGGATCTCCCTCTCTAGTTGCTTGGAAAGAAGTCCACCTTTGATAGGGGTACATAATTTCTTGAGCCTCTCGAATATAGTGGCACTCCACAGCCTGTTGCCCTTTGGTCAGAAATGCCACATTGGAAATGTCAAAAAGAAAGTGTTCTACAAGTATTTCATAGGCATTCTGGGAGAGACTATGGACTTACAAAACTGTCCCATGCCTCTTACACCAAAAAGGGGCAGAACTACAACAATTTGGGAATTGGTGTCCTTCATTTCTCTCCCTCTGGCATCAATTATAGAGGAGAAAGGTTTTTTTAGAAATGAAAAGTGAAATGAAATGGCCAAACAGATGGAAAAAAGAAAGGGAGGTTGGTTGGTTGGTAGACACACCTATCTACTTACCTTCCTTTCACCCTGTCTGAAAAAGCCAACAGACCATTGAAAAAGACAGGTTCTCCGCCTCTTTTCCTTCTTGTATTTTTAAAGCTGGCGGACAAAATTATACAGTTATGGTATATTTATACCATGTTAACTAGAACCTTAATTTTGTTCAAGCCATCATTTCAAATACCTCTAAGGTAAGAAATTAAGGTGCTTATTACTCACTCTAATTCACTTCAAGTTAGAGAAAATAGGAGTAAACTAAAAATTATAGTGATGGAATGTAGAAATCAGAAACTTATTATCAAGAGTAAAATAGAGTGGCCTTGATCCAGAGAAACATGAAACTAGTTCTGCAGCCTCTGGAGGGGCGGGCGGGGGATTCAGCCTTGTGGCAAGCAAGGAGCAAGAATCAGAAGGTCTGTACAGGGTAGCATTTTGCCACAGCTGCAGGACCAATATTCTTGACAGATTGAAAAATTGAAGTCTTTCTGTATTCTGCAACATTTAGCAGAACTTCCCAACATCTAAAAGTGTTCTTTAGTAATCCAGCGCATCTTAATTGCAATTATATAATCACTAAATTATTTTCTTTTATATCTTAAAATAGATCTAAGTTTTTTTTTAAAAGTCAGGACTAGACAGTACATGCATTATTTTAAATCACCTTTTTTCATTCATTGTTACAAAAGTGAAAATATTTCCTAATAGTTTTTAAAATTCAAATTTCCTCCAAATTTGTGATTTTTCAATTTCTGATGTTGGAAAGGAAAGGAGAATTTTCTCCCTTGAGCTTTATCTCCCGATACACATTCCCTACTCCATATCTCTAGTGTAAATTTCCCACTTCTTCTGATGAAACCCAACTTGACAGAAAAAGCAATGTTAGATTATTTTTCAGCATCTTTGTTCAGTCAATAGCATGATATTCTAAACCCTGGGCTGGCTTCAGGATTTGCTTTCCATTAATAGAAGCACTCTTTCAATCCATAAAACATTTCCATGTCAGTGCTGCAACAGTGAAGGATATGTTTGCCCATTTGTTCTTCTCCCTATGGACCCCTTTTTGCCAGCTGTAAACCTACAGTTGGGGGGTGGGATGTCCTGCAGTTGGCAAAATATGTCCTCTACCTTCCTTTTTGTCAATCAGAGCATCCTGAGTTGAAATTTGCTCAGGAAGTGCTTCTGTGGGCCCATTCCTCCTCTTTTCTTCTCATTGTAATAGTCTTCTTGAGGGATTATAATTGTCCATCCAAACTTAAAACAAGACTGCTTTGGAAGTTTGAATGTGACAACGAAAATTTTCCAACTGTTGTGGGTGGCCAGTTTTGGGGCTTCAGCTGTATCAGTTCATTCATACACCACTCCCTTAAAGTGAGCCCCTGTCAGTATAGGCAATGAACAGGATTGTACAACCTGTGACATGACCTGTAGAGTTGGGGAGTGTGGGGGAACTGCCCTAATTTATTTCTTTTTCTTTTTCTTTGAAGTGAACTGCCTATCAGTTTTGCTTTGGGTAGCATGTTCCAGAGCAATAAAAGTAATTCTTACCCAACAAAAAGCAGATGTGGTGTCCAAAGTCCAGTTTGTCCCCACTGGTTACTAATAACTGGAGGCCGGAAGGAATACACATTGGCCTAACAGAAAAGCAATGTCATGAGTATTTTTAGTCCATATATCCAGGTCCTCACCTTGAAGAACAAGGACACAGTCACTAGCCCTGTCTTTTCTGTTGTATTCATGTCATGAGGCTTCACCATACTCTTAAGTATCAAAATAGTATGAAATATGCATGGAGTCTTCTCTATAGAAGCAGACTTCTTGCATGAGATGCCACCTGGATCCCATCTCCAAGACTCTAGAACCTGACAATAGGGACGCAACCAGGTGGGAGACTGAGTGTACCTCTGCCTCCCATATACTGTTCTTATTGCATGAGGACTAGAATGCCTGTATGTGGCTCTTGTTGATTCCTAGAACTATATAGCTCAGATTATTGGAGCAAGGTGGAACAGTAAACTTGGAGAGGGGAAAATATGTGTGTCTTCCATCCATACTTCCAAGGAGATAATTGAGTCAGTTTGTTACGGCAAAAGCAATTAAAAGTCTTGGGACACCTTAAACTTTTCTAAATTGTAAACCCTTTACAGTCCACTTCTTTGGCTTTTGTAGACTGTAGCTCACTGTTTCATCTGAAGAAGTCAGCCACAATCCAGAGAAATTTATACCAGGAAGCTTGTTTGTCTTTAAGATGCCACAAGATGTCTCACTCAATTAATATGGATATATTTTAAAAATCCCATAGGTGGGCAATAATACCATTATGAGAATTCACAGTGATTCCACAATGGTGAACAAACTTTAGAGATTCCCAGAATTCTTCAACTAGGCTCATTGATTTTAAAAAAAGGAGAAGGGGTGGAAGAGAGGTGTGGAAGTGCAAAGAATTAGCTAGATGCTTCTGTTATGGGATGTGCTGTTAAACGTCCTCCCAAAATGGAGATTGTAGGCTTCATGAATCTCCAGTAGGCAGTGGCAACTGATGGCCACAGTGTTGGTGTGCTGTGAATTAGAGAAGGGCACAAACCTTCAGTTCAGTGGTTCAGCACAGTTTGTATCCTGGATGAGTAGCTGATCAGCTCCAAGTGGGCACCTGTTGGAGGGAGCATGGCGGTGAACTGCAGATCATCTGTTCAGAAGGCAGACAAACTGCATTGAACTGCTGAACGGTTTGTGTCCATCTCTACTATGAATCCATCCTGGATTTTAGTTTGCACTTTACAGGAGTTGTCCAAGGCGCTGAATCTATTTTAGAGATAATGTTTAGCATCTTGGAGAGCTCTTTTACAATGCAGAAAAAAAATCCAGAGTGGATTTGCAGTACCTCCAAAACTAGGGTCACCATCTTCCACTGCTAATAGAGTACATGCTGGTTTCAGATCTTACCTATTATGCCTGCTGGGATGGAGACGAAACAGTAGATCTCTGAAAATACAATGGTGCCTGTTTTCAAATATGCATATCCACCATTTCTTCTCCATTAAAACACATACTTCTGGGTATAATCTGATACCTACATATGTACTATGGGTGCATCATGGCTGTAATGTCCATTTTTGAGATTAGCAACTCATGGCTGAAACAAACATTTTTGTGGGCTTCCATCCTTCTTTGTTTCTCTGTCCCAGATTTTATAACCCAGCTATCCTGATGAAGAGTACTGGAGAACTTCAAAGCTCATGTGGAATTGTTGGCCTCCAACAAAGGCATTTTTTGCATGTGTATATTGCATTTTGTTTTGTTCTTGTGGACTAACATGGCTACCTCTGTCTATGGAGACATAATTATTATAGTTCAATGATCAATAATATACTCTTTAAAAATTGTTCCCAGTATTCTCTCTTGGTTCTTTAATAATATAATGATGCTCAAGAAACAGAACCTGCCATGGGGTTGTGTAGAACAGCAAGATGTGAAGCCCAGAGATTCTATTCTGCTTGAAAACAATGTGGGCAGTGTTCCTGAATAAGTCCTTGGGGAGCCTACGAAACATGTTGACCTCTTTCTTTTCTGAAGAAGAAGAGCAAACTACTATGCAAGATGGGCGAAAATAGCAGCTGTTGTTAGACTGCAGCTTCCAGTGGCTTCCACCAGTGTAGCTAATGGTGAAAGATGGTGAAAGCCGCAGTCCAACCCCTGGATGGCCACGTGGTCTCCATTTAGGAAATCATCAGAAAACTTAAAACATTTCTTAACTCCTCTCACTTAAAAATGTTTATGCAAGTACAGAGCCTGGAAAGTTATGGAAAATTGTGGCTCTTTCCAATGAGTTCTGCTATTACTAGGCCACACTTGTCTGCATACCTTCTAATTGTTCCAGTTGTTATACTATTATGTCTCTGGGAAATGTGTATATTTGAACTCTTTGTACATATTCTAATACACTGTGGGCGCCTTATTCAAATGTTGATAGTATGTATTAGAATTAGCCGCTTCTGGATTCAACTTTTCCTCCAAGTCCCTATAACTCTAAGTTTACAATGATTATCCATGTATATAAAGGGTGGAGAGCTGTTGTCCTCCACATGTTACCAAACTAAAATTCCTAGGACCCCTTACTGTGGCCCATGCTGACTGTGGGGGTTGGAACTGAACATTATCTGGCAGGTCAGAGCCCTAAGACAAGGTGCTATACCAGGCAGTGCACAGGCTCCAGTGCTGTTGCCACCAAGGCATATGCACCATATTGGAGGTGGAGGGCTTGCATAGTTATATTGTCCTATGAGAACAGAAATGTGTGCTCCAGCTTTCATCAGTGAAATAATGGTGGTTGTGCATGCATGCTCATTTGTGTATATGTACATGCGTGTGTGCACACATAGTCTATATTTTAATATCTATTTCCCCCCCTCAAGGAACTTCCATACTTTAAATTAGATCATTTAAAATCATTTGTACAAGCTGAATTTGAATAGGACAGCCTTGTGATCACCTCTCTCAATTATATGTTTGGAAAAGAATAGAATCTGGTTCCTTTTATGTATTTTTAGATATTAGGCAGCATATTTCTACTGTTGTTTTAATATATTTGTACTGTACCTTTTATCACCCAGGTGCATGTTTTAAGATTACTGGGCAGATGGAAGTGTTTTTTTTTTAAGACAAACGAACAAAACAAACAAACTGCATTCTGTAGCCAGTTTTCCCTATCTTAGTGCCTTCTTAGGTGTGACTCTGCTGCTGGGAATAATGGGAATTGTAGTCCACATCCAAAGGGTAGCAGAATGGGCATGGCTATGCTATAGTTCCTTCATCCGTGCATTTATCAGAATCCTCAACAGAGCAGGGGATTTTTCTTGGTGGCTTTTTCTTTTGCTATCTCTTTAGGGTGCTCTGTTCTTTCTTTGTCGGCCCTTTTTTAAAAAAAAACCAAACTTTTCTTGGATGCTTAAAGCCAGCAATAATGCTTTTGCTGCAGTTCTTGGAAACTGAGACTGCAATCATAACAAAACTGTAGTGCCTGAGGTAGTTCCCAGCTGCCAAAAATTAGGCCAAGGTGGAGGGAAAGAAGGGGAACGGTCCTCCGACTGAAAAGAGCGGGCCTCTGGGGACGGGGCTTTTCACAGAGCGCCAGTGGTCTCTGTGTTGGTAACGCTCTGCTGTGTAACTTCTGTGGCCACATATGGGCAGCTACTGTTGTTCTTTTGGTTTGTGTGGGTTTTCCTAGATCCCTCTGCCTTTTCTTTCCCATTGTACCAAGTCTGCCTGTCTCCTTCTGCCAACTTAAGCAGCACGCTCTTGTCAGTGTTCCTGAATGCTGGAAGTCTCGCCTTTGGATGCTTGCCCATGAGGGAGCCTTTTCTGCTATTCCGGCCTCTCTGCTGTTTTCAAGCTTTGCCTGTATCAACTGGAGTACAGGAATAGGAAGGGGAAGCCCGTGCCCTTGCAGACAGCCCTGTCTGCAAATCTGCTTTCCTCAGAGGGGTTACTTGCTTTAGTTTGCTCATTGTGGCATTCACACAAACCTCTTTTTTGGCATGGCGATAAAGGCTTTGCGACACTGAGACTGTTGCCCTGCAAATGAAAGCATGTATTCAATTTAGATTAATGAGAACTTAGTGCCTCCCCTCAAAGAAGGCACAAATATAAATTTGCAGCCATCAGATCTGAGCACTCATTGACAGCTCTGCCGTGTGGGTGTTAATTTCAGATTCTGAAGGAGGAAGCAGAAATAAATGTGCCTTGTGAAATATGAAAGTAGAGAGGCCCTTCAGTACAAAGTTGGCAGTAACAAGGAACAAATAACTTGCATTGTCCTTTTCAGTATAAATCACACACTGGTCCAGGATGATGGGAATTGAAGTCCAGCAGCACCTGAAGGGCAATGTGTCCCTCACTGTTAGTCAACACTGCAGTTGCTACAGTTCTCCCAGGATTTCAAACAAAGGTCTCTTCCAGGTCCACCTGGAGATGCCGGAGACTGAAACTGTGTCTCGGTGCCTGCAAGATATTTGTTCCATCAATGCACTTTTTCACACCTTAGAAGTGTATTAGTAGATGGGATTGTCTGTGACTGTGTCTCTCTGATCCTCAGTACAGTGGATTAGCTTCACATTTCTACCTAGTGTCCTGCTTGTAAGAGCAGGTGGGGTTAAGGAGCGAGGGGATGAACAACAGGGAGAAGGCAGGGCTGAGCCATTAAGCAGTATAAGGTGACTTGCATGATAATAACCAAACATGTAGATGCCCACTTCTATGTTTTATCTTCCGCCTCATCTGCTTAGCTTTGTGAACACTGAAAGTAGGCATTCTTATGATTCATTGTCAAATTACATCTCAGTATTGAAGCTAATAACTTATAGAAACAGACCTGGGAATGTTCAGGTGGAGGATATCAGTTATAGGCAACAATTGCTTGCAGTTAGTTGCAATAGAGTAATGTAATTGGAGTTCCAGTTGCTGTTTTCAGGTATTCAGTGCTCTATATTCACTAGAGTGACATGTGTCCCTCAAGTACTCTGGCAACAATTCTCCAGATCTAAAGACAAAAAGTTAATAAGTGAAATGTGCACTCCTATGCATATCAGGGAATAAAGTCTATTGAGTTAAGTAGGACTGGTTTCTGAGTAAGCTGGCATAGAATCTCTCTCATGTCACTTTAATATTTTCTTGGCTCCTTTTAAACATTTAAATGAAGCCTCAGGAATTCACCTTGGAAATGTAGATCTATTTTCCAGGTGTAATTGTGCAAACTGTTTTCATCATGAGAAATTTAATTTCTCCATCTAGAGGCCCATGTACTCACTGCCTTATATCAATCTGTTTTATATCTTGGAAACAGAACTTGACACAGTTACCATCTTTTCAAGTCACAGCTCAGCTGTACATGCTTCTGATCTGCAGACTTAAATGGGTGACAAGGGCTTGAATCCAGCTTAGTCCTATTTTGAGTTGAATAATTGAAATCAAGCCTGGATTCATTTCAGTGCATAGCTTTAAACGGTGAACAGCACTGTCTGCTGATTTCTGCCCTCCTTATTCCTTCAGGTCAAACTGCTATTAAAGGCACAGCTGTACAAGTGAGTTGAAATGTTGGCAGACCTATATAATTGCACACATTTTTTGAGTGATGCCTTTGGTTCAGTTGCAGCATTTAGAGAAGTGGGGGAAGGAAAGCAGTTCATGGATGGCAAAGAGACACATGCATTGTTTAAAATAATGCCCCAGGTCTTCTTGCATAGTGTAATACTAAAGCCATAAGTTTTGGAGGTGAATTGCCTCAAGTTATGAAATCACTGAAGACATCATCTGTGGTGTACTGAGTCAGGTGACTCAGCATCCCGTAGACAAGATCTGCAGTGGTTTCTTAACTTGAGGCAATTTACCTCCAGGAATTAGGCACCACCCCAGTGTGATTACACAAAATGAATTTGACCAATTCTATGAAAATCATGGCCTTGCACTTTTTTTTTAAAAAAAAAATGATAGTTTGTTGCTTACACATTTTTTATTTGAAGTATCTTGAAGTAGTTTTCATTCAACTGGACATAAGCTAGGATAATGCGGAAGATAACTGTACAAAATAGTTGTATTTTCAGTTTTTATTATCTTGTTCATCGTCAGAAAGGTGTGCCGTTGTTGTGTGAAAGAGCAGGTGCAGGTTTGCCGTACAAAAGAGGATGAAAATCTTTCTATCTGTTTAAATCCTATATATTGTATAACTATCAGAGACAGAGGTGCACTGCTGTCCTTTGGTTTTCCTTCAGAAAGGGCAAGTTATAATTTTGGATTACAGCTCCCAGAATGTCTTAGCTATCATGTTGGCACAGAGATTCTGGCAGAAGGAGTTGTCCAAAAAAGTAACTTTTCTGATTTCTGTTCATGCAACAGCACGTACATTTTGTTCATCTAGCCCAAAACTGCTTACACATTTAGTTTTACCATGTACTTCTATAGTGATAGTGCATCTTGCAACCAAGGTTATAACTTGATAAATTGTTGAAGATTTGGGGAGTTGTCATTCAAAAAAGTAACTTTTTTCAAACTCTGCTCCAACTCATTCATCTGATGTAACTGGCACTGGATGTTGTGATGGAATCTCTGGCACAGAGGTTGTAATCCAAAAAGTAACCTTCTCAAGCGTCGTTCAGGAGGTACTGCTCATCCTAGACTGGCTTCCCAACAGGAAGCTACTGCAAGTGTATGTTGTACATGGGATACAAGTGTGTGTTTAAAAGCCCTGGAGTAGATAGTACTCCCAGGAAGAGTTCTTGTCAATGTTCCTGAATGCTGGAAGTACTATCAATCCCAGGCAGAGTTTTTTCTCATTATGGCCCCTGATCCTTGTAATCAAAATATTACAGCTTGAACCTGTACATTTCATGTGCTCAACTCACTGAGCAGTTGCCCTTCCTCCTATGTCACCAATAGAACCCAGGTCTTCCAACTTTTACTGCCTCTGATACTGTCACTGACCACATGAATCTAAACTCTACTAGACATCAGCTTGTTCTTTTTTTTCCTCTTTAGATGAATGTTCTGGTAAATTGAGATATAGAATACAAAGAGTACTCAAATGGTTTTTTGGAGCAGGGGAGAATGAAGTTGGTTTCTTACACTAAACCCCCAAGGGAGCTGCATTGCCTGCCTTCTTTAGGTGCCCTGTTATTAATAAGAAGCAACTTTTTCAAATGCCCAGGATGAGAGAGATTGAGAGATTGTGTTCATTTCTCACTGGAATTCTTCCACGTTAGTACAGAAGAAAATTAACTTGATAATAGCCAATTGCACTGGGAAAGCAAGTGGGTAATAGAGAAAGCTTGCTAGGTGATTTTTTTTTAAAAAATAATGCTTTAAAATATTATATTTTCATGTTGCATACATTTAGATTTTCCCACCTTGCACTGTGGGTCTTTCACAAGAGTCCTGAAGTCCACAGGCCTTCTTCTCCATGGACCAAGATCCAGTGAAAATGTAGCATTTTGTCTGTCCTGGTTGTTCTGTGCCTTCAGGATCCCTGTGCCTTGAACGGTAACAACCAAGTCAAGTCTGTGTTTTTGTATCTTGATCGTGTACTTCTAGATTTCTGTGTTTTAGTGCTTTTAAATCTATTTGAAATTGCTTTTGGATTTTTCCCCTCCTTAACTGGTACAATTTTTAATAAAATGGTTAAATCAAAGGCTCTCCTTTCTCTGTGTTAATAGGTGCAACAGAGTTCTTACAGCTCTGATCTGGAAGAAAGTGGGAGCTACATTTCCCCAGTAGCTCTGAGGAAACATACTGTAGGAGCAGGACAGTCTATGGAAAGAGGGTCTCCTTACTGTGCAGACTGTGAAAGGCATGAATGGTCGCCACTGGCCCTTTGAGTTAGGCATTCTGTGCTACTACACACACCTCCAAATACTTATGGACTCCAATACCCATTAGCCCCACCTGATGATGGAAGCTGTGATCCAACATAAGCTGGATGCCAAATATTCCTGACATCTGGAACACAGCATGTTTCAACAACCTCTTTTAGACATCCTTCAAAAGTGAAATCTGTGTGAGAGAAGCAGCTTTGCCCAGTTAATCAGCCTAAATGGCTGGGATGGCAGCCTTGTCAGCAGCTACTACCTGAGGCTCTAGAACAACCCCCATCAAGTCAACTTCCCTG